AGACTCTTAAACAAAGATTTGCCTCTGCGGACATACTAAAACATCCTGACACCAGTAAACCTTTTATATTGGAGGTTGATGCATCCGAGACAGGGGTAGGGGCTGTTCTCTCTCAGAGAGAAAGCCAGGGAACACCATTGCATCCTTGTGGCTACTTCTCCAGAAAGATGTCTCCTGCTGAGCGCAACTATGATATTGGCAATAGAGAACTGTTGGCCATTATTCTTGCCCTCAAGGAGTGGCGACATCTTTTGGAGGGTTCCAAGGACCCCCTGTTGATCATAACCGACCACAAAAATCTGGCATATATAGGGGATGCCAAACGTTTGTCTTCCAGACAGGCTAGATGGTCACTGTTCCTTTCACGTTTTAACTTTCTCATTACTTATAGACCTGGTTCTAAAAATACCAAGGCTGATGCCTTGTCCAGGCAATTTGATAATGAGTCAGCTCTGGAACAGATGACATCTCCTATTATTCCACCAGAGTGTATTATTGCTACTACTGTCCTCTCACTGTCTTCTCCACTGCTTGGCACCATACTGGAGGCCCAGCCTCAGGCGCCCAGTGGTAAACCGTGTGATAAACTGTTCGTTCCCCTATGTGAAAGGGTTAATATCATGAAAGTGTTCCATGACAATATAACTGCTGGACACCCGGGCATCAATAAGTCCACTGCCGCGATCACTAGATCATTTTGGTGGGATTCACTCAGGAAAGATGTAAAGGAGTATGTGCAGGCATGTTCTGTGTGTGCAGTTTCTAAGGTGACTCATGCACTTCCTTGTGGCCTGTTGCAGCCTCTTCCTGTTCCTGAGATTCCATGGTCCCACTTATCCATGGACTTTATTGTTGAGCTTCCTAGCTCTGCTGGGTTCACTACTATTCTCATGGTTGTAGACCGATTTTCTAAGATGGCTCACTTCATTCCTCTCAAGAAGTTGCCATCTTCGCAAGATTTGGTCCTAATTTTCATACGTGAAATTGTCCGTTTCCATGGCATCCCCTACAATATTGTGTCTGATAGGGGCTCTCAGTTTGTGTCCAGGTTCTGGAGGGCGTTCAGTAAACAATTGGGGATTGATCTCTCCTTCTCCTCCTCCTACCACCCACAGACCAATGGTACAGCTGAGAGGGCTAACCAGTCATTAGAAGTTTATTTGCGTTGTTTTATTAATAGCACACAAGACAATTGGTCCGAACTACTCCCGTGGGCCGAGTTCGCTAGAAACAATGCTGTTCATGACTCCTCTGGGCACAGTCCATTTTTTGTCAATAATGGTAGGCATCCTACGGTTCTCCCTGCGGTATTTTCTGATACTGCCATTCCTGCTCTGGATGAGTGTCTGGCCTCCATTCGGGATACCTGGGTTAAGGTTCAAACTGCTCTAGGGGCTGCTGCTGAACGCTTCAAACATTTTGCTGATAAGCGTAGGAGTGCCAACCCGGTGTACCAAGTGGGGGACCGGGTTTGGTTGTCATCTCGCAACATCAAGCTTAAGGTCCCTAGCATGAAGTTTGCCCCCAGATTCCTTGGTCCCTATAGAGTGCTTCGTAGGATCAATCCAGTGTCTTACTCTCTGGCTCTTCCTGCATCTTTAGGGATTCCCAACACTTTTCATGTGTCCTTACTCAAACCTCTTGTCTGCAATAGATATACTGTTCCTTGTGTTCCTCCCCCTCCGGTGGTTGTGGGTGGTCAGGAAGAGTATGAGGTATCTTCTATCGTGGATTCTAGGTTTTCTCGGGGCACTTTACAGTACTTGGTTGTTTGGAAAGGTTACGGTCCTGCTGATCGTTCTTGGGTTTCGGCTCCTGACCTGCATGCGGGCCGTAAGATCCGCGCTTTTCACGCTAAATTTCCTCTCAAGCCTGGTCCTGTCCGCCCGGTGGGCGTTCTTCAGGTGGGGGGTAATGTCACGTATTCATCCGCTTAAGAAATGTGGTTAATGACATTTACTGTCCACACAGGAAAAGTTGTGCCGAGCAGCAACCTAATCCACGAGCAGCAACCTAATCCACAGAAGGGTTAATGCTGAGCAGCAATTATGCAAATGAAACCTGGTAACTGACTTTGGGGTCAAAGGCCGGTTACAGCCTATCAGAACTAAAGGAGGGGTATTTAGGCCCAGTTCTCAGCCTGCTCAGTGCCCTGTCGTGGTTTCCCTTGTGGTTGTCTGAGAGCGCGTTCCTGTTTATAGTTTTCTACCTGGTTTTTACTTTGGCTTTGTTTATTGACTTCTCTATATTCTGGTATCCTGACTCCTGGCTTTCCTCATCGCTGTGTCCCTTTCTGTGTTCCCTGACCTCGGCTAGTATTTTTGACTGTTCTTTGTACGTTAAATCCGGCCATTCTAAGGACCGGTAATACGTTACTTATTTGTCATCCGTGCTGTACAGTTCTACGTGCTGGATCAAACAGTAATCCTGACACTTCGTACGCCCAGGGCCGGACTGGCCCACCGGGATACCGGGAAATTTCCCGGTGGGCCGCGGCACCTGGGGGGCCGGAGAGAGTGAGAGGGAGCCCTGCTCCCTTTACTTTAATAATATCGCGGCCGCCGGCCGCATGTCGGTGCCGCCGGGTGGCCGGTCCGGCGGCACACTCTGAGGTGATTACTCACCTTGCGGCCAGCGGCCCCATCTCCTGTGCTGACACCTGTCAGGATCAGTGAGTGTGCCGGGCGGCCGCCTAAGCCATCCAGCGGCACACTCACTGATACTGACCGCCGCAGCACTGGAGGTCTGAGGGAGGGGGCGGAGCTAGCTAGTAGCTACCATGCTCCCTCGCGGTTCCCAGAATTCCCAGCATCTACACATCATAGAGTAGGGATTACTCTATGATGTGTAGATACTAAAAAATAGAAAACGCGAGAACATAACCTTCTTCAATCCTCTATGACAAAAGAATATGAAGCTTTACAGAAGAGGAAAGGGGAGACAAAAAAGAGATAAGGAGACAAGCTAGAAGAGGGAGCAAAAGAAATGAAATAAGAGGAAGAGGACAAGCTAAGAGGGAAAGAGACAAAAGAGGAAGAGGACAAATAAGAGTGATAGAAGAGAGGACAAAAAGAGGGGAAGGGGAACAAAAGAGGACAAATAGAGGAAAGAGACAAATAGAGGGAAGAGGGGAGAACAAAAGAGGGAATGGGGACAAATACAGGAAGGAGAGGGAGACAAAAGGGGAATGGGGGACAAATAGAGGGAAGAGGGGAGACAAAAGGGGAAGGGGAGACAAATAGAGGGAAGGGGGACAAATAGAGGGAAGAGGAAATAGAGGGAGAGGGGGTCAAATGAGGGAAATGGGGGGAGACAAATAGAGGGGAATGGGGGGGAAATAGAGGGGAAGGGGGAGACAAATAGAGGGGAATGGGGGGAGACAAATAGAGGGGAATGGGGGGACAAATAGAGGGGTAATAGAGAGACACCAGGGAAGGGGGGACAAAGAGACAGAGGGGTAATAGGAGGTTGGGGGGACAAAGAGAGGGGTAATAGAGAGACACAGGAGAAGGGGGGACACAGAGACAGAGGGGTAAGAGAGAGACACAGGGAGGAGATGGGGAAGAGAGACACACGGAAGGTTTGTTGGGGGGACAAAGAGACATGCAGTAGGGAAGGGGAACAAAGTGACACAAGATTTGTGGAAGGCAACGCTGGGCTGAGGAAAAAGAGACAGAGAGTGACTGGGAGAAGAGAAAGAGGCACACGGAGTCTGGAGTTAGAAAGGGACACACAGATGAGATTTGGAAGGGGAGAAAGAGACAAAGTGGCTGGGGCTAAGAACAACACAAAAGGGGCTGGGGAAAGAGAAATACAGAGGCTGGAGAAGGGTAAAAAGAAACACACAGGGGCTGGGATGAAGTAAAAGATGCACAAGGGTCGCTGTAAGAGAAAAAAAGGAGACAATTGGAGACAAGATACACTAAACGAGGTAAAGGTAATAGACATAAATTGATGTGATCCTGACAGTAATACACACATATATATATATATATATATATATATGCATGTATATTGATGTGTGTATTAGTAACATATAATTATGCCTATAATATTTACACATATCGTAATATACATTTATTTATGCATAATACACACATAAATGTCATTAAATATGTCATTATATATAATGAGCACGTATTGGCCCTGTCTTGTTGCTAGTTGCATACTCATGCACAATAACACATTCAAAGTGAAGAGCGCACCCATAGAACTTCAAAATAAACAAGATCACTTCATTTTTTAGTTGTGCAACTGCAGACATTCAGCATTTCAGTACCATTACTAAAATGTCCTTAATAGGCCAAAGTAGTTGTACTGAAACATTACATGCAAATGTACGTCTACTTAAAATAAAGGCGCTCTTTTGTTTATTTTGAAGCCCTATATGCGTTCCTTCGTTGGAGTAAGAGTTTTCAATTTCAAGTTATTTTTTCACCCTCTATATCAGCACACTATGCTGGCGCGAAGCATTATTGGGCTGGTATAGAATTTTTTTCCAGGGCTGATTTTAGGTCCCAGTCCGGCCCTGCGTACGCCACAACAGCGGTATCAAGGTATATAGAATTTCAGGATGCAATACAAGATGTGATATTTGCTATTCAGGCACATTTTTTGTATTTAGTAGAAGTCTTAATGTTTAGATTTTTTTTAAGTAAGCTAGCAAGGCATGCACGTCAAGTTACTATCAGAAAGCATGACATAAGAGTTAATCCTGACCTGTATGAGAGGGGTCAAACATATATATGACAACTAGCGAGTTCAGACATGGCTTAGTTGTGCTAAATATATGCAAAGCAGGATATTCACTGAAATTAGAGATACATCTAAGGTTAGTACTGTACTACCTGTCTAGTTAAGAGCTAAATCAGAAAAAGATGATCAAATCAAGGATAATCATAAAGCAAAGTTGTGGGCATATCAAGCTGCATCCCTTTGTTCGCCATCAGGATCTGAAGTTGGGTGAACCATGCTGGAGTCATCCGATCCCGGTGAGCTGCCAGCTTGGAGCACTGCATAGAGAGACTGCATGCGGATCTGTGTTGCCGCCTTGGAGCGGGTCTATATGTTGGAGTGGTGCCCCGATTATCAATGCCCTCCAAATTTCTGCACAGCTCCTAAAGGAGATACCCTTCCTTGTGGCAGCCACTTCAGCAGCTAGAGGGTGTTGGATGGAAGCATCACGATCTGCCTCCAGAGTAGAGTATTTTGAGATATGACCATCTAGATCAGAGCAGAGCACCTGGAGATCTGAATGGATTTCTCTGGTGATTTCTGCTGCCACAGGTACTACGTTCTCCCTAGTCAACATTGACTGGTGAATGGTCGTTAAATATGCTAAAATCTGGGAGAAATGGGTAAAAGACTGAAGACTCCCACAGGTCCCCAATCTGTGTCATCTGTCTCCTTGAGTTTTGTGAAAGTAGAGAGAGAAGAAGCCTCCATACTGCATCTAGGCTTTACGTCCGCTGGCGTGGCACAGTAGTCCATCCATCAGACTTGAAGAACAAACAACTACTCTCGGTTGCACTTTCGGGTAACTGGATATCTTTTCCCCAACCATGCAAGCTGCCGAATGCGGGCTAAAAGCAAATTGTAGTTGTTGGTGTCAGGAGTTCTGAACTCAAGCCTTTCCCCCTAAACTCTTGCCCCCTAAACTATATTGATGGCCCCAGCAGGAACAAGAGAAGGCATGTCCACGACCAATAATGTCAATGACAAAATTTGTGTCATTGAAATCCCCTTGAGCTGACCTCATCGCTGCCTGTTATGACAATACCATGTTCATTTGAGCTTTATCCTTAGTCTTTTTTAATGTTTATATTCGTTAATCAATGATCTTTGAAAGAACTCTTAACTGAGTCTTAATATTAAAAGTCTCAAAGAAAGGAAGTGATAAACTTCTGTTTATTTTTATTCTAGGCAAGGAATTAAAATTAAAGATAAGATGTAAGCAAACTATAGACATTATAAACATAATAAACATTTTCTATTAAATATATTCTATATCTAATCAGAATAAAAAATATGCTAGACATATCTGTGGACAGCAGCAGGTTTAGGCTGCACCGTCCAGCCAGGGTTTGCCTTGAGTATAAATGGAAGAATTTCAACTCAAAATATATGGTGTATTTTCTTAAAACTCTGGCAAAATGCATGTTAAAATGTATTATCTGTTTATGTTCACTGGCTCATTTGAAATCAATGTGTAACAGGACAGAGCAAAAACAAAACAAATAAATCAAAATAAACATTTAACAATTTCTATTTTATAGATTTGATTTTACCAGTTAGTTCATCTAAGATGTGGGAAGCAGTAATAAGTGATGGTTTCTACTGGTATGAATTCAGTTGATTTATTTATTTATTTATTTTCATGGAAACGGGTTTTAAAAGGTTGGATTTGATGGATTTTTTCTAACCGAATGTAACTAACTAAACAAGCCAATTAGCATCTAAGATATTTGTAATAACAAGCTTCAACCTATCCGTAGTGAAGCTCATTATGCAACTGACTTAACAGACCTATATAAATGTAACTAATTGGCAACCCTATTAAAATCAGTTAAACTTATGGTATTTTTTCTTTTACATTTTACAAAGCTTGAATGTTTATAGCTGTTTTTCTCAGTTTCAACTCAATGTTACATATTAACAACCCTATAAATATTTATTCCCTTAGGTTAAAAAAAAAAAAACTCACATTTGAGTTTCATTATACACTGATCATCCACAACATTAAAACCAATGAGAGGTGAAGTAAATAACATTGAGTATATCATTACAATGGCATCTGTGCAGGGGTGGGATATACAGTTGCAAGAAAAAGTATGTGAACCCTTTGGAATGATATGGATTTCTGCACAAATTGTTCATAAAATGTGATCTGATCATCATCCAAGTCACAACAATAGACAATCACAGTCTACTTAAACTAATAACACGCAAAGAATGAAATGTTGCCATGTTTTTATTGAACACACGATGTAAACATTCACAGTGCAGGTGGAAAAAGTATGTGAACCCCTAGACTAATGACATCTCCAAAAGCTAATTGGAGTGAGATGTCAGCAACTGGAGTCCAATCAATGAGATGAGATTGGAGTTGTTGGTTACAGCTGCCCTGCCCTATAAAAAACACACACCAGTTCTGGGTTTGCTTTTCACAAGAAGCATTGCCCGATTCCTGCTTCCTGCAGCCATCTCTTCCCCAAGTAAACAATGCACATGTTCCCGGCAATCAACTAGATCTAAGAGAAAGCATGATTCATCATATCAGGCAACTTTCTTCCCTTCCCCCACAGTCCAGTTCTGAAGCTCACGTCCCCATTGAAGGTGTTTTCAGCAGCCCCATATGCAGCCAGCTGTGATCCACTGTGTGTTCTGACACCTTTCTATCATGGGCAGCATTTGTTATTTTCAGCAATTTGAGCAACAGTATCTCTTCTGTGTGATTGGATTAAACAGAGTAACCCTCACTCCCCACATGCATTAATGAGCATTGGGCATCCATGATCTTCATGCCAGTTCACTGGTTGTTCTTCCTAGCACCACTTTTGGTAGGTACTAACCACAACTAGTGATGTCGCGAATACAAAATTTTCGGTTCGCGAACGGCGAACGCAAACTTCCGCAAATGTTCACGAACCGGCGAACCGCCATAGACTTCAATGGGCAGGCGAATTTTAAAGCACACAGGGAGTCTTTCTGGCCACAATAGTGATGGAAAAGTTGTTTCAAGGGGACTAACACCTGGACTGTGGCATGCCGGAGGGGGATCCATGGCAAAACTCCCATGGAAAATTACACAGTTGATACAGAGTCTGGTTTTAATCCATAAAGGGCAGAAATCACCTAACATTCCTAAATCACAATCAATATGGATTGACACCTGACATATGACATATTGACACCTTGACATATGGATTGACACCTGTCCTCAGAGCCCCTGATGCACACGGACACAGAGCAGAATAGAGACTGGTCCCCTACATAGGGTCACTTGGCAGATATGGATTGACACCTGTCCTAAGGATCCCTGATACACACTGACACAGAGCAGAATAGGGACTGTTCCCCCTACATCAGGGTCACTTGGCAGATATGGATTGACACCTGTCCTCAGAGATCCCTGATACACACTGACACAGAGCAGAATAGGGACTGTTCCCCCTACATCGGGTCACTTGGCAGATATGGATTGACACCTTGTTACAAACTGCTATTTGTAACTGGCCCTTTAAGTGGCAAATTGCCCTGCTTCCCTGGGTTGTGGAGAAGCCTATTTGCCAGCCTCCTCCCGCATGACTATGGCCCCTGGGAGATTGTGAAAATGTATGCACATTTGGTGTGTATGGCCCTTTAAGACTGTCGGTGGGCATATTGGGGCTTATGGACTCTTTATGTGACTGGTGCTGGCCCTTTAAACACCTTTTTTGGGACATCAGGAAGATTGGGACACTGCCCCTTTAAGGCCGTGTCCCCAGACTTGTTGGGGACACTGTCCCTTTAAGACGGTGTCCCCTGTGTCCCCAGACCTGGTGCAAACCCTTTGTGCCTGCCTGGCTATTTCCCACTTGGTTCAGTAAATGGGGCTTACTGAACCAAGTACCACACAGGCAGACCACCCAGAAGTGGAAGTGTGCAGGCAATTTACCTCCCAGAAGCTGCGGTTAACCGCAGATTAATTGACAATGCTGGGAGGTCTTTGTTCGTTTGCCGAACACGTGGCAGCGGCCATCTTTGATCATTCGACGAGGTCAGCGGTATGTGTAGCCAAATTCATGGAACTAAAATCGGCTACACATTTCCGCTGAGCTCTACCTTCTCCCCTACTGGTTTTACAGCTGCAGAGACTAAGTCCCATTCGGCGATGGGAATTAGTCTTTTTTCAGCCGTTTTTTTCAGCCTTATTACAGCTGCAGAGACTAAATTTTTACTGCCTGTGTTTAATTATGTTAATCTCTTCCCAAACGTCATTTCGTTCAAAGTGGAGAGAATGTTAAAAAAATATATTTTTGTTCTGAGTGTGAGAAATGCTTTTCAGCCGCTTCTAATCTTAAGCATCATTTGAGGAGCCATACAGGAGAGAAACCTTATTTGTGGTGTGTTTAGTATTGTTCTGATCAGTTTAATACCTTCCGCGTCTCCTATCAGTGGACGTGTATATGGCAGCCATTTTAGGAACCGCACACCTGGGACCCGAGCAAGGTCACCTCGTTCAACAGGCGACAACATTTGTCCCTGGAAAACTATCCTGGACATTATGTACAATTTGTATGGATATGGCAGTGATTTCTGTAACAGGGAGATGGAAGAAGATGCTTGGTCGGTCCTCTTACTGCAAATTTGGGGCACTGCGCGGTCAAGCTAATGTGACACCAGATAGGAGTGGTGTGTTTAGTACTATTTTTTATCAGTTTAATACCTTCCGCGTCTCCTATCAGTGGACGTGTACATGGCAGTGATTTCTGTAACAGGGAGATGGAATTAGATGCTTGGTCGGTCCTCCTAACTGGAGACTGTGTTGCTGTATGGGTGGCAGGTGGAGCCATTTATAAAGTACCCACTGCTTTGCAGACCAGGTATCAGTGGTCAGATGGACCCTTGCCCCAGCACTGTGTGCCAGACATGCCATTACTTCCTTTTGCACAGTCGAGTACAGGTTGGGGATTGCCTTTTGCGCAAATAAATTTTGGCCGGATACCTTCCACTGTGGTGTCCCAATAGCTACAAATTTTGAACGCCTCAGACTCCACCAGATTGTATGGTAAAAGCTGGCGGGCTAATAGTTCAGACAAGCCAGGTGTCAGACGCCGGGCAAGGGGGTGACTTTCTGATGCTTGCAGACAACTAACTGCTATTCAATCTATAACAGATAAAAAAGTTTTGAAGCCACAGTGCAGCACCAGAGGACCTAAAAATTAGGCATGTACACATGCCTGAAAAATTCGGTATTGTTGCAGCCGGAGTAGGAGGAGTAGAGGAGGTGACAGCAGGCCTGCCTGCAAGTCGTGGCGGTGTCACCAACTCCTCTGCAGAGCCACGCATTTCATGCTTGGCAGCCGTCAGCAGGTTTGCCCAATGCGCAGTGTAGGTGATATACCTGCCCTGACCATGCTTTGCAGACCAGGTATCAGTGGTCAGATGGACCCTTGCCCCAACACTGTGTGCCATACATGCTATTACTTCCTTTTGCACAATTGAGTACAGGTTGGGGATTGCCTTTTGTGAAAAGAAATTTCGGCTGGGTACCTTCCACTGCGGTGTCCCAATAGCTACAAATTTTTGGAACGCCTCAGACTCCACCAGATTG